GCGGCGTTGGGGGTCTGAATGTGTGGGGCAGGATGGACGGCGTTGGGTTACGGGGGCTGAGATGCGTAGGGCGGGATGTGGGGCGCTGGGTTCCCAGTGGGGCTGTGGGACCCATAGGGCAGGTTGCGGGGTGTTGGGTTCCCAATGGGGCTGGGACCCATAGGTGCGCCGTGGGGAGTTGGCTTCCAGTGGGGCTGGAACAGACAGGACAGGCCATAGGGTGCTGGGTTCCCAGTGGTGCTGTGGGACCCATAGGGCAGGTTTTGGGGTGCTGGGTTCCCAGTGGGGCTGTGGGACCCATAGGGCAGGTTTTGGGGTGCTGGGTTCCCAGTGGGGCTGGGACCCATAGGGCGGCGGTTGTGGAGGGTCAGGACCTATAGGGCGCGCCGTGGGGAGTTGGCTTTCAGTGGGGCTGGAACAGACAGGACGGGCTGTAGGGTGCTGGGTTCCGATGTGGCTGGGACCCATAGGGCGGGCTGTGGGGCGCTGAATTCCCAGTGTGGCTGGCACCCATAGGGTGGGGCTGTGGGACCCATAGGGCAGGTTTTGGGGTGCTGGGTTCCCAATGGGGCTGGGACCCATAGAGACTCACTGCAGGGCGTTGGCCTCCCAGCCCCATGGCATCTGGAGTGTAGGTATGTAGGGTGGTTATAGGGCGTCGGGTTCCATAGGGTGTGGGACCCATAGGACAGGTTGTGGGACCCATAGGCTGGGCTGTGGGGCGCTGTGGGGCTGGAACAGACAGGACAGGCCATAGGGTGCTGGGTTCCGAGGTGGCTGGGACCCATAGGGCGGGCTGTGGGGTGCTGAATTCCCAATGTGGCTGGCACCCATAGGGTGGGGCTGTGGGACCCATAGGGCAGGTTTTGGGGCGCTGGGTTCCCGGTGGGGCTGGGACCCATAGAGGTGCACTGTGGGATGTTGGCTTCCCAGCCTAAAGCACTTGGAGTCTAAATAGGTGGGGTGGTCTGTAGGGCGTTGGGTTCCGGTGGGGCTGGGACCCCATAGGGACGCGCCGTGGGGTGCTGGGTTCCGGCACTGCGGCGTTGGGGGTCTGAATGTGTGGGGCAGGATGGACGGTGCTGCTTTAGGGGGACCTGGGACGGGTGGGGTGGGACAGAGGGCGCTGGGTTCCCAGTGGGGCTGCGGGACCCATAGGGTGGGCTGTGGGGTGCTGGGTCCCCAATGGGGCTGGAACAGATAGGACAGGCCATAGGGTGCTGGGTTCCCAATGGGGCTGTGGGACCCATAGGGCGGGCTGTGGGGCGCTGGGTTCCCAATGGGGCCGGGACCCATAGAGACCCGCTGTAGGGCGTTGGCTCCCGGCCCCATGGCGTCGTGCACCTGAAGGATTTGGGATCCGTGGGATTTGGGACCCGTGGGGTCGGCTTCCTAAAGGCAGCGCAGTCGGGGGCCCGTAGGGACGCCCCGGGGGGCCGGGACCCGTCGGGCCGCTTTATGGGGTCCGGCGCTCCCGGCCCCACACATCCGCGCAGTGGGGCAGGGAGTCCCGTCCCCCCCGGTCCCGTCCCGCCCCACAGTGCTCCGCTCCGCTCCGCTCCGCCTTCGCCCCCCCGCGCCGCTCCGCCCCGCACGGCGTCCCTGTGCCACGTCCCGGCCCCGCCGTGGGTCCCGTGGGTTCCCCCCCCCCCGCCCCACTGATTCTATGGGGCCGACCCTCCGCTGCCCCGTGCGAACCCCGTGTCTGCCCCATAGAGCCTAAGGTCGCTTCCCAAAGATCCCAGCAGTGTGGGGCTGAGCTGCCCCGTGAAAACCCCACATCTGCCCTATAGATCCCAACGATTTGGGGCTGAGCTGCCCCGTGAAAACCCCACATCTGCCCCATAGATGCCAGTGATGTGGGGCTGAGCTGCTCTATGCAAACCCCACATCTGCCCCATAGATCCCAATCATGTGGGGCTGAGCAGCCCTATGCAAGCCCCACATCTGCCCCACAGATCCCAACAATGTGGGGTTGAGCTGCCCCATGAAAATCCCACATCTGCCCCATAGATCCTAAGGTCGCTTCCCCACAGATCCCAGTGATGTGGGGCTGAGCTGCCCTATGAAAACCTCACATCTGCCCCATAGATCCCAGTGATGTGGGGCTGAGCTGCCCTATGTGGACCCCATCTTCGCCCCATAGATCCCTATGTCCCCACCCCACAGATCCCAGCAGTGTGGGGCTGAGCTGCCCCATGCAAACCCCACATCTGCCCTATAGACCCCAGTGTCCCCTCCCCATAGATCCCAACGATGTGGGGCTTTGCTGCCCTATGTGAACCCCATCTTCGCCCCATAGATCCCAATGTCCCCACCCCACGGGTCCCGATGTCCCCACCCCACAGATCCCAACAATATGGGGCTGAGCCGCCCCATGCAAACCCCACATCCGCCCCATAGATGCCGGGTTCCTGGGGAGCAGTTCCGGTTCTGTGGGTTTTGGGGTCGCGGTTTCGGGGCCGCATTTGGCAGCTGTGGTTTCAGACGGGAAATGCCGTGCCGTGCCAAAACCCCCACGTGGGGGGCAGCTGTGGGGCGGCGGTCGCGTGGGGAACCCCAAAAGCGTGGGGTAGGGATCCTATGGGGGATCCTCCAGCAAACCGCGGGGCGGCGATCCTATAGGGGACCCCAAAAGTATGGCGCGGAGGTCCTACGAGGACCCCAAGCCGTGTGTGGGGCGGAGGCCCCCCGTCCCGGCGCCTGTGGGTATCTGCAGCCCCACAGCCGGCGGCGCCGCTTATCGGCCCCGGCAGGGCGCAGGGTGTGGGGCGGCTATAGGGCAGCTGTGGGGCGGCTATGGGGCGGCTATAGGGCGGCTATGGGGCGGCTATGGGGCCAGCTCTGCTGCACTGTGTCACTGTGGGTCCTGCCCGGATCCCCCGCTTCGCATGGAGCTGTGGGGTCGGGGAGCAAAGCACCGGTTTGGGGTCCCCGGGGTGCAGTTTTTTGGGGTCAGGGGGAGCATAGCACTGGTTTGGGGTCCCCACGGTGCAGCTTTTTGGGGTCCCCGTGGTGCAGTTTTTTGGGATCGCCAGGGAGCCGTTTTTTGGGGTTCCCGTAGTGCAGTTTTGGGGTCCCCATGATGCAGTTTTTTTGGGGTCCCCACGGTGCAGTTTTTGGGGTCAGGGGGGAGCATAGCACTGGTTTGGGGTCCCCATGATACAGTTTTTTGGGGTCCCCAGGGAGCAGTTTTTAGGGTCCCCATGATGCAGTTTTTGTGGTCAGGGGGGAGTATAGCACTGGTTTGGGGTCCCCATGGTGCAGTTTTTTGGGGTCCCCAGGATGCAGT